TGTGGAAGTTGTGTGTTTATGTTAGTAATAAATTTGCACTGTCTTGTTAAAAAATTGCACTGTCTTAAAAAATATGTATTGTCTTCAAGTAGCCAAAATATAGTCTTAATAAATTAATATCCAGCCATAAGCTCGTCCCTGATTTGTGAGTCTTGGATTGCTGGGACTGTCATATTCAGTGTTGAAGTGTTATATTACATGATTTTTATTTTTTATTTTTTTGAAAATAGGTAATGGACCCAAACTGATTAGAGATTCAGAGTTGTGGAATAGCAATCATTTATTTGACATAATTTCACATTTATATAATATGTTATATGTCAATGAAGTCAAATAAATTGGACCCTTTAGATGTAATTTAGATAGTGACACTCAATGGACCTCACCCCTTTCTAGTCTAGTTACATGCATTCCTTGCCGTTTTGATTAAATTCTATGTGGTGTACAAGTTTCCATGTCATAAAGGAATCGAATGACAAAGCAGAATTGACCTGACCTACCTTGTGCGTACATACATTGCTGTTAACTTAGAATATTCTTAAATAAAATATTTTGTCCTGTAATCTGGTAGCAAGAAACATGTTTTCTCTTTTAATAATTTTTATTTGGTAGTTTAGTAGAATTCGAATTAGAAATTTGAAAACAACTATTAATTTATGTGATTCTTTGAATTTGAGATGAATGAAACATAGTCATTAGAGGCGTAGCTGTAAGCTTAATCAGATTGAGGCATAAGACTAATTTAGTTTTAACAATTTTAAAAAGTAATTTAGTTAAATTTGAAAGCCATGAAAAAAGATTTGCTAGCTATTATCACTTTTTAATTAATTTTTGTAATTGTTGGCATATTTTAAAGTGTTATATTACATGATTTTTATCCTATAGGTGAGTGGGAGCTGGTATTGTACTATTAACTTATTGTTACATGAATTGTGTGAGATTAATACTCTTATAAACAAATGGGAAAGCTCCAAAGAGGATGACTTAGCTGCTGTGGCATGGAACATGAAGGAGAAGTTTGCAAAATATTGGGGGGATCCAACAAAAATGAATAAGAACATTTTTTTTGCGGTGGTGTTGGATCCTAGTCAAAAAATGGGATATTTAAATTGCCTTCTTGGAGATTTGTATTCAGAGCCGGAAGGAAAAGCAAAAGAATATGGATGCTGGATTGAAGCTGAATTGAGAAAGTTGTTTGATTTTTACAAGACTGAAATAGAAAATCAGAATGAGAATTGTGGTAGTAATAGCACAAATGCCACATCTGGTTCTAGTGGGGGGCAAGGGCCTGATCAAAATAACCTTAATCACCTTGTTGGATCTAAACAAAGTGGTGGGAATGGTCTTGGTGGTGTTGCAAGCTTAAGGGCAAATAAGAATGGCAACGTTTCTTCTTGCCAAAGTGAACCAGGAAACAAGAAAGGGATGAAGGATACTGAGAGATTCAGAAGATATTTATCAGAGGCAGCTCAGGAAAAGAATGAGCAATCAGAGCTTGACATCTATCTCAAAGATAAATTAGAAATCATGGAAAATGATGCTCAATTTTATGATGTTCTTTCATTTTGGAGGCTTAAGAGTGGGAGATTTCCTGTTCTTGCAGCAATGGCACGAGATATTTTAGCTATTCTAGTTTCAACAGTGGCATCTGAATCAGCTTTCAGCACAAGTGGTCGTGTGTTAGATGACTTTCGGAGTTCCTTAACTCCTAAGATGGCACAAGCTCTAGTATGCGCACAATATTGGCTAAGGAAAAAAAGAAAACATGTCAATATTACTCTTGATTGTGAGGATTTAGATGAATTAGAGGAAGCGGAAGCAGGTAAGTTTAATATTTTTAAAAATAAATTGTCCACCATTTAAATTCTGATTTTAAAAATTATGTTATTTTGGCTAAATGTTATTATCGGATTTCATGATTTGCAGAATATAGGAAGAAGTTACGTTCATCACTTCTAGATGGTTGACATTT